CACAGCTGGCGTCTGACACCGAGGAGGTTTGCTCCTACAGGGCATGACCACAGAGGGGACAGAATCAACCCCACACTCGAACACAAGCCACAGAATCTGCAGTCCTCACATGTGGGCTTGTCCAGGTGTAATGAAGAAAGAATATTGAAAACATGTTTCTTGAGTCTTCAGCTGGACATAACAGGGGCATTTTGACAACCTTAGTTTTAAGATGATGCAAATACAAAATGATGTGCAGCAGCTTAAGAGCACGGAGAAGCTCAGCTAATAGTTATCATGGTTACTTTGAAAAAGGACATCCTGAATCTTCTTCATACAGTAAGATTGTAATTTTGAATTCTCCCGGCTTGTTTGAACCAGCAGTCCAGCTCGTTGAGAATCAGAGGGTTAGCCTCAGTTCTGTGAAGTTCATAGAGTGCATCATATTCCAGGTCAGGCTAATATTATCATCATACATGGCGTCGTGTTCTATCAGAGTTTGAAACAGCTGTGACAAGGCCCTGAGGCAGGAGCTGTCTTATTTACTGATGGAAGTGGGTCTGCAGGAGCAGTGACTGAAATCGGTTTTTTTCTTTGGTGTGAAACAGACATGACGGAGGAATGGAGAGCGGGAAACAGCACAGAGCTCAACACGCTAACCTAACAATTAGTATTCACACAGCTGCTCTCCTCTCTCTCATCCCACATTTACATATGATAAATTCCGGTAATGAAACAGTGGATGGAATTTACTCAAAGCTGATTGAATTTCCTCGTTACACAATAGAAGGGGATCATTAAAAATGAGCTTGCAATTCCTCCAAACTCCGTAATGGAAAAAAGACTCAGTGGGAATTTTCTTTGCTTGCATTTTTTTCCCCAAGCTAAGAAACTGAACAGAAAACATGATGCAACCGGTTATTAACATGCAGGGAGATCGTAGCGGTCTCATGCATACAGTCTAAGCACTGTGCACAGGTCACAGGATATAAACATCACCACCCCCTCCCACTCGCTCGACAAAACATTTCCGGAGAATATCCTGCTGTGTTCTCACATCAGCTCTTCCTGGAAATATCAGAAGTTTTAAAAGCACCATGTTTTACTAGACAGGTCTGTGAAACTACAACATCATCCAAATATACTCTCCTAAGTATAACAAAACTATGTGTGCATGTTGCATGATAGTACTTTGAAAGCTTGAAGGTGTCTCTCAGAAAGAAGTTGATGGAGACAGACCAAAGGAAGGCTTTCATCAGAAAAGTCATCATAGTACCTAAATTAAATAAAACGGGCCTGCACCGAGTCTACAGCTGCATGCTTTCTTCCTAACATTGTGCATCTTATTTTTTAAAGTGCTGTCATCCTGTCACTCGTGTAATCTTGTGAAACAGAAACATACGGGTAGAAACCCCCCCCCCCAAAAAACAACAGCTCAGCTCTGTTTGAGTAAAGATGTGAGATACTGAAACACCTCAGGAGATTTGGAGCTCAAAAATAACTCCACATTATAAATTCTAATTTTTCATTTGTATGCAGTGAGGATTCAAAAGTGAGGACTAATGTAGGTCTGCTTTAAGACAGGAGACACACTCAGTAACAAGATCCAGCCATTCTACTCTAAATGAAACCACACGACTCAGCATTAACACGTAATGCTATTAACCAGAGCCAATCACAGGCTTGGGACGCCAATTTAGGGAAATCTCATTAGTCATTATACAACATAAACTCAGGTTATTCAATGTGATACTGTAAACAAACAGGTGAACACACACATGATCTAAAAGTGGACAGCTGGTGCATCCCTTGAATTTAATAGAGAGTTTATATGTTCTTTTAGAGTTGCAGTGTGTCAACTAGGCCAAAATGACATCAGAAGAAATACGCAATGTACATTTACAATGTTCAATATTGCAATAGCGACATGAAGTAAAGAAAATATGCATGCATATTAGCAATAACCCACACTTTCTGTGACTATTTGTTGTTATTCATGTTTTAACAAGACCTGTGATTGCGATTGAATCTAAATAAAATCAAAAAATCTAATTTATTAAGGGTCAGAATTTGGAATTTTTGGTGCTGATATTGATATGAGGGAGAAAAAAATCAGATACGGACATAACGGACGATATCTCTCTTGGATCTATCATCGATCTGTAGAGATATCAGATATAGATATACACATTTATTGTGTTTATCACTCAAATGCAGTTATCGAACACTTGTTGAAAAGATTGATAATTAAGACAAGATGGTCACTCAACTGGAAAGTAACTGCATCACAGCTGAAGACTCTGGAGGGTGATAATGTAGTTTGTGATCCATAAAGCACCCTCTGCTGGTGACAGCCAGAAAGACAAGTGCTAGTCTAAAAGTAATATTGGCGCATACCGGCGATACCAATAGTCACTTGATGAGCTAATATCAATGTTGATATTATCGGCTGGACGATTAATCGGTCAGTTTTATTCACCACTAAATTGGCGGCGATTGATCTGTAGGTGCCAGGCAGCTTGAGCTTCATGTGACTGCAGCTGTCATTGGGTGAGAGGCGGGGTTACACCCTGGACTGGTCGTCAGTACATCACAGGGCTGATGGGGCGCTGGTAGCCTAGTGGTTAGTGTTCACGCCCCATGTACAGAAGCTGAAGAAGCTGGCCCAGGTTCAAATCTGACCTGTGACTCCTTTCCAGCATGTCATTACCGACTCCCTCTCTCTCTCTCTCTCTCTCTCTCTGATTTCTCACTCTATCCACCGTCCTATCTTTAAATAAAGGCATAAAAAGACAGAAACCTTAAAAACACATAAATCAAAGGGCCAACATATTAAAGAAAATATTATTGGTAAAATCATATGTGAATGTTGTTTCTGCTGCCGGCTTCATCGACACAGACCTGCACGTTGACATCAGAGGGCATCATTACAGAAACGGCTAACAACACTGGCAGAGACTTCAGAATAGATCAAGTACTTGAGAGTATTTTGGTGTCAAGAGACGTCTCTTATCAGCAGTGGAGGCACAGCTACTCCTTCACACATGAATGCCATCTTATCTCGTCTAGAGCTCGCTACGGTACCGCTCTCAACTGTCACATTCACAACCCAAGACGCTCGCTCACTCACTCACACACACACACGCACGCACGCACGCACACACATGTCAACGCATACACACATGCACACATATCTGGAGCTGCAGGTATCCAAACAAATATTCTAAACGATGATTTAATTGGGTCAATAGAGAGAAAGCGTTCTTCATAAATTAAAAAGCCAATCCCCGCTCTTATTAATCCAATCAGCGTGAATAAATGAAGGTTCATTATGTGTACAAACACTCAGAGTACACAAACACCATAAAAGCAACATGTGCATCGCTCTGTGACAGACTCAATAAAGCTCTTAATGCCTTTTTAATCAACTTTTTTTTGCTCAGAAGTTTGTCTCCAAAGTGCTTGTTTTTTTTGTATTTTCAGTTCCACTTTGCTTTTGAAATATAAAACTCAAAGCAGTTTTATCTCAACACTTTTAAGTAAGCCATTCTCTTTTTTCTCCTCAAACAATTAGGAGGAACCAAAGGCAGATTAATTTGATCATGGCATTACACGTTTGAATGAGTTTTACAGATCCTCTGCCATTGGCATGTGTGCCGTCACAATAGATACTCTTTGTGTTGTGTGTGTGCTTTGGAGGCGTTCCTCTGAGCTCGGCTTAAAAGTGAAACAATGTCAGCCAATAACACAAAACGACACAACAAGAGGATCTACTTTTAATGATGTGGCTAAGAGAAAAAGAAAAAACATGATAATTCTCCTAGTTTAAAATGGTTCTAGCGCTGTGTATTGGCAGGAGTCAGATATCATGATAATACAGGGTTTATGATTATATATATATATATTATACTGTGATATAGTAAACAAGTAGATATATGTTGCCCTTTAAGAATCAGAACACTTCATAACACATGCTCTGTGTGGTTTTATGTTGCTGTGCTGGTTTATGTTTTCATGTTGGAGTCCAAGAGTTGTGTAGACGGATAATAACACTGAAATCTAATTATAGGGGGTTTGAACACAAACACATATTTAACACTTTAACACATAGACTTTCTAAAGGTGAGTCATGACTAAATGTTTAAGAAATGTTTACAGAGAAATGATACCGAATAAAAAAATCCTATTATAACTATTTTATAATATAATATTATTTTTTTACACAGCTGTGTTAAATACTTGATTCTGCATCGTTCGATGAAAGCTAGTGGAGCTCATTTGAAGAAAGCTACAGCGTAAATGAAGATGGGACGGATTATGTAGCTTCTTAAGCAGAAGAAATAATGATTTTTAAACCAAGAAAAGAATTACCAGGAACCGGGATAGGGTGAGACAAGACCCCTCTCGCTTTAACATCCTGCTCGCTTTACATTATCCTGAACTTCTTACATCCCTACTGCACACACACACAAGGGCTGTGCTCAAAAAATCGATACTGCAATATATATCGTCATGAACTCCGCTCCTTACAAATACCTGTATCGATGCAGATGTTACAGAATCAACACGGCTGCACATCTGTGATGACAGTTTTTAAATGTGTATCGTATGGTGTAGGTTGTTTGAAATACCCAGCCCTAAAACACACCCAAACAGACTGGGGAGTGATCACTTGTCTCAGACTAAGTGTCTGTGAGTGCATGTGTTTGTTGTATTTAATAACAAAGCCCTGTACAGAGTAAAAGCAGCAGACACATGGACAGAGTGAGATGCCCTGCGTCAACACACTCATTAACACCCCGGCTCCAACGGCCCTCAAGTAGCACAAACAGAATATAAATATGTGATAAAGTTGACATTTAGAGGCAGCTGTAGATGGATGACTCCGACTGACGGCCAATTTGCCTGCTAATCTAAAAGGCCAGGGCCGCTGGTGGAGGGGACGAGAGATCAATCGTGTGTGTGTGTGTGTGTGTGTGTGTGTGTGTGTGTGTGTGTGGTGTGCACGGTCTCTCACTCACCAAATAGATTACTGGAGTGGCCTTGCTTGGAGACAGGCCGGAGCTCATTGGAACCCCAGGCGTAGCGCTTGTAGCTGTCCCACGCATGTTTCATCATCTGACAGGGAGGAAAGAGGAGGGGGAGGAGGAGGAGAAGATGAGAAATAAAGAGTGTTAAAGGGGACAATCAACTCTTACTCTGTAACAGAGAATTAACAAGTGTGGATTTCTAAGGCTAGTGCTCATTTTAAACCACAAGGGTCCTTCAACATTATGTGTTCCAGCGGTGTATCCGTTTAATCAGAGGAACATTCTTTATAATGGAAACATATAAAGTACTCCAATAAATGTACTTTTTATTTGAAGAATATATCAGATAATTTGTGAGATTTCCACAAGTCCAAGCTGACATGCTCAAATATTTTCTTTTAAACACCAACAGACCAAAAGCCAAAAATGATTTAGCTCAATCTTATCTGAAGGATCTAAGAAGAAAAAAAATCCTACATGAAAACATGCAACGAAAAAAGATTCCTCCCCCCCCTTTGATGCTCTGAGCTTTCAATCTGGATACTAACTGAGCTAACTAGTTAATAGCAGCCGGTCAAATCAAACAATTTTGTGCACCTGAACAAGATTGGAGTTCTTTTGAAGCTCAAATTAAAGTCACTTTCTTATCAAGATACCTCGCTCTCTTGCAAACATGAATTAACAAAAAGGTCCCTAAAAAAAGTGGAATGGGGCTCTAATGATTAATTATAGTGTCAGTTTACCTAATGGTGTAATTTAGTGCATCAGGTGGTTAATGACCTAATGCCATGTTTGTCAGCTAACTGATGCATCAGTGTCTAATAGACTGTTTTTATCTGTGCTAAAAATCCAAACACCACACATGTAGAAACCGCCTGTCCCCCAGCAGGGTTCACTGAAGTTTCATCTTGCTGAAATGCTTCACTCTCTGGAGGCTTGACAGCAGCGTGAACACTACATATCTTCAGACGTTTGTTTCAGTGTCTTCAGTGTCAGGCGAGGCTCCTCCTCCTGCTCTGTATCTGTCTGTTCTGCTAATCAGGTTACACAGCCTCCTCCCCTCGCTTTCTAGATCCTGCCTCTGGATTAGACACACTAACTCCCTTCATCCTCGTCCATCAGACAGAAAAACTGCTCACACACACTCACACACTTCATTGATCGGGTGCTCTTGTCATGTATAGGCCTTCTAGTGTAACCTATAGTGTATAAGTGTAGGGGTCTGACTGACAACTTTCCCCACAATGGCAGCTTTGTATACCTGAATAATGTACACACACACACTCTCAGGGATGTGATGTGAAGCTCATGTACAGCCTTGTTCAATCCCCCCCAGGAGGATCATATTACTGTACAACACAGCCTGGCAGTATGCATATCCTGTTGCAGGCGTATGCATGAATGTGTGTGCATTAGTTTGCATGTGTTGTGTTGTGCACAGTTTATGTTGTCACTGCTGCTGACTCAGTGTTGGTCAGCCCACTCGAGGACAGAGATTCACACAACAAATAACTGTGACTAATTCAAAAGGCGGTAAAAATGGCCACAACAGGAAGTAAACCAGTAGGTCAACGAGCCACTCGGTCAGAGTTGTTCGAGGGAACCAGAGTCAGCAGATAGCGATATAGAAACATAGCTGTGGTCACGTTTGGTGGAGCTAGCAGGATATGAAAGCAGCAGGGACTATTTACAACAGAAACTAGATTTGTTGTTATGACTGAGAGAGTAACCAACAGCTGGACACTGGTAGCAGTATCTGAATGTGGTTTTCAGTAACGCTACACCATCCCACCTGTTTCCCAGCCATTACACGTACAAGGATAAGAGCAAGAGACGCTTAAGTGAGGGCGCTATAAAATATGAATGAGTTTTTAATACCCACACGGTGAGAGGCTGCACTTTATTACAACTACCATTAAAGGATCTCCACAAGATGAAGTGGAGCCTGTAGACTTCAGAGACACGCTGACGAGCTCTGTCCACAGGTCGCTGGTTTCATTCAAGACATGCGGCTTGCACTTGTTGACTTGTTGATCGTTGCTCTGACAAAGTGTTTTAAAAAACTGAGTGTCTGTGCACGTCTACTCGAGGCAGAGTGACATCTTAAAATTAGCTTTTTGTGTCAAATCAAAAGTCTTCACATTTATGAAAAAATGAACAAAAAACAATTGAAGTACCTTACCCTGCAACCTCAAAATATGAGCACTATTTTTTAAATTCTGGTCCTTTAATACATCTTTTTTGGCCACTTTCACACCAGATTTTTGGGTGACTTTGTCTTAAAAAGTCAAAATAGAAACAAAAAATGCCATGAAACGCTTCCATGATAGATCAAAGTCCATTGACTCTATTATCATGACTAAAGAGATGAGGGGAAAAAGATGAAGAAAATACATTTTGTTCTTTAAAAGGCACTTTAAAAGGCAGAATTCCTTCACTACGAGTGCTGTGCAGGTGCATGTTCACAAAACACTTGAAAAGAGGAATACAAAAACTGACACACTTGTGTGATGCTCCTGAGAGTTTTTGCTCTTTTATTTGTATTGTGAGCAGAACTAACAATGCATCAGGAGGTTGCATCATACACGCTCAAGAGGCCCCTGTGCGTGAATAGACTCTGATTTCATGCTTTTCAAGGAGCAACTGGTTATTAGATCGCAGTGCACAAGGGAGTGTGTGCTAATTATGCTCCAGAGGAATAGAGGGAAGCATAATTAGCACAGTTACCTCTCATCCCTTTAGCTCCATCTGCACGTCGTCTCTTTAATACAAAGACGTGCTGATAACCACAAGCACATAAGCATGTTACAGGCGTAGTGTTTGAACATCTGCAGGGTTTAGTGTTGGTTCAACCCTCCCTGACAAGAAGATAGCTTCACATGTGCCCTTGTTTTAAAGCAACACTTACTCACACTCACAGAGAAACACAGAACAAAAGCCACTCAGCTTGCATTTCATCTCCCACACACATCAAACGGACAGCTAACGATAGCTTTCCTCCATTTAAAACCCACTAATTACAGCTAGTGAGCCTGCTAATTACCGCTCCTATATGCATGTCACATTAAGAGATCTAACTCTAACAATGTTTTTTCCTCTCCGCACACGCTGCGGTGCAACACATGAGGAACACTGGAGCTGATCCAAATTCTGATCAAGGAGTGAACAGATGAGGACTCAAGATGACAGGACATGAAACAACAGAGAAATTAAAATGAAAAACAAACTAGCGTTGGATGTTAAATAAACCCAGTGGTAACATAAAAGGCAGATAAAAGATTTGGGAAACTATAAAGCCGTGTGGGTTTTGGGCTGAATTTTTATGACTTATCCTTCAAATGGCAAACCGTTTTGATTGAAATAAATCAGCCAGCCGATAATAAATCTGCTGATATGAGCACATGACACAAATATCTGCATCGGCTGATTGTTATCTCCAACATGCGCCGATATTAAAAGAGTTATTCAACAGCCAAATAGCATTTCATTTAAGCATCATTGTATCACACTAGCAGTTCTCTTTCACCAGCAGAGGGCGCTGTACGGATTACAACAAGCATCATTACTCTCCAGAGGGTCAAATGGTGATGCACGTACATGTGCAAGTTATTTTCCAGTTGTGACCATCTATCATCTATCTCGAAAGAGCAAAGATAGATCTAAGAAAGATATCAGCCAATGTATCAGTTTCAGATTTTTTGTATCATCCTGCAGTCATCCCGTACTGGGCCCTAGTTTTAATCCCAAGGTGCTCATATAAGGATTCTTGCAAGTCCCCTCTTTAGTCTTTCATACAAAACAACAAGGAAGTGTCTGTTTCTTGATACTCTAAAGCAATTCCCCAAGCAACATCTGCTGTTCTTTGTCCCCTTGTCTTATTTTTTTAATTTATTGTATCTTTGTTTTCATTAATTTTTAGCTAAATTGTAAAGCACTTTTTAATTTGTTATTGAAAGGGACTATTCAATAAAGTTTATATGGACAACAAATTATTCTACCATTGACTTCAGACCAGCTTCTACAGGTGTCATCAAACAACTTCATATTTAAGTCAAGTACACATGTTGGTACAGATTAAATGATCACATGATGCACGCATGGCTTCACACGTGTTTTATGGGTTAAAAATGTTAGTTACCCCCCCCCCCCCCAAGGTTCAATAAAAGTAACAGTTGGATCAAAAACATGTCAGTCCGGCCTCGTCTGCAAACACCCTCACATACCTTCATGACATTTTATTACCCAGTACAAGAGGAAACACACCGTGTCTGTGTATCAGAGGATTTAAGAGGATGTGTGTTTCTTTTTTACTGGCTATGCAAACTTTAGTTTGGGATTATGTCAACAAGTTTTTGGACCCGACACAGTGCTGGAAACTGAGTCTGCATTGTGTGGCTGAGTTAAAAAAAAACAAAAAAAAACTGAATTGACAACTACATGTGTTTTATAGTGAGGTGGTGCTTGATGAGGCTCGCAAAATGTGGAAGCACTGTTTAACACAATGTAGCTGATATGAACTGAATTATCAACATCTTTGGATTGTTAAAATTCTGCACACACATCTTGTGCAACACACTGTGTCCACACCACTTTCATATCTGGGGTAGTAAATGTAGTGATGTTATTTTTATTTTTGGATATTCAACATACAGGATCAAACTTCCTTCTTGCTCCTGACTTGTTGTTGAAGCTGCATGTTTGCAATACAGACTGTATGAAACATGGACGTATTCTCAGTGACATCAGCCATTACTCTCTAAAGAAGTGTTATGAAGCCAAACGATGGTGGTCACCATATTGGAAATGCTATCTCAACCTAACTTGACAGGATCGGTGTAGGAAGAGGTAAAGAGATAAAGCTGAGGCGGGCCTTAAGCCTCCTCAAACAGCTTAAGTCAAATCAGCCACGCCCATAATTTTGCAAATGTGTGAATAACTCTTGGGCGTAATGAACTCAAAAGAGATACTTTTTTTTTGCAAATGAGTACTCGGGTAAAATGTAATCACTAATCGTTTTGTAGTCCACATTTTTGTGAATGTTTCTTGTTGCATTGTGGGTTCTAGGATAGGCCTAATTCAAAACAGAAA